CGTAGATGCAGAAGCGGAGTTCTCTATTGCGTCCTTTATCTCCTCCCAGACATCCTCGCTGCGCAGAAGCTCAAACATAACGAGAGGAAATAAACCATAAGATAACAAGTACGCCTTACACGTCAGCAAGAAAATGTGGCAAAGCCCAGCATGGAAGCCATAGGGAGTCACGAGGGAACAACAGGCGCACGAGCAAAACTAAGAAACCGACATAACGGAAAATAGAAGGAAACAACCTCATGCACGGTTAAGGAAAGAAGGTTCAAACATAATGCGGCACGAAACGAATACTGTAACGTACAGTAAGCGGGGAGAAAGTGCAACTAAGCAGCGCTTTGAAGGCACACAAGCATCAACAGAAGAGAGCAAGAAAGAATCCAAGAGCACAAACAACACTGTACAGATGATGCAGCAAAATCCAAGTAATATCTGAACCTCCTACAAGCAAATGCTTCAGTAGAGCTTGGAAATGACTGAAGGAGGCGAAATAAGTGTAAACAGCTGGTGAAAGCATATTTTTCGATGCAGTGAGAATCAAGGAATACAAATAGCAAGAGCGGAGGATAGGCAACCAAGATGAAAGCGAGATGGCATAGTCTGAACAACGTACGAGAAGGGCTTCTCTTTATCTACAAGTGCTGCAGGATTGGTGAGGCAAACGAGGCTGGTAACCGTCTCTGCAGCATCGGCGAGGCGCCGAACAGAAGGTCCGCCGTGCTGGTGGCTTTGGCTTCCTTCTCCGTAGGAAGCAGGGTAGGCGAAGGGTGCACTTGCTGCATCGTTTCCCTGGCCTTCCACGCTCGCCGATGGCGCAGCATCTGCTTCATGAGTTACAGAGAGACCCGCAGGACCCCCACTCACAGTTGTAGATTCTTCTGTAGTCGTTTCGCTGGTAGAGGCGGTTGTGGTGGTCGTGGAGGTGATGGGGCAAGTGATGTACGCGCAGTCAATTGTGGCATCTTTCTTAGGGTTGTACAGGGCCACAAGCGAACGGTTGCGGCTTTCTTTATACACCCCTTTTTCTCCTTCGTACACAGGTGGGAGCTCTCCAAAGTTGACGTGGGCACCTTTCCAATAGGTAACAGCTGCAGAGCAACCATCGAGAGGATCCGAATGAGGCGCGTAGGCGTAGGTGCCGGTGCGCTGGTAACTCACTTTCGCGGTCTTCACGGTTTCCCCCTGAGCGCACCACAGGCAAGCAAATGAAGTAGAAGGAAGCAGCTTCAATGGCTGCAGAACATCTCTCTCTCTGTATATATATATATATATATATATATATATATATATATATATATATATATATATATAT